GCCAGTCGGCCATTTTGAATGTTATCTGAAAAACAAAATTATTTGCATCAAGGTCGCATAATGTCTAATGTATATATCAAGTTTGAACAAAATCCATCTGTAAACAGCCGAGAAATGCTTGATTTTTAGGATTTTTTAGCACAAAAATGGCCGCCATTCGGCCATCTGGATTCAGATCGTAAAAGAAAATGATGTTCATCAAGGTCCTATAATGTCCAACGTATATACAAGGTTTGAACAAAATCCATCTGTAAACAGCCGGGAAATGCTTGATTTTGATGATTTTTAGTACAAAAATGGCCGCCATTCGGACATCTTGAATCAGATCGTGAAACAAATTGACGTGCATATGTATGATATCATGTATGATGTATGTGTGAAGTTTGATTGTGATTGGTCCAGGCATTTCTAAGATACAGGCCGGACGCATGCACACACAGAGGTCAAAACGTAACTAAAAATAAGTTGTATCCGGGATTTTTTAGTCATATCTGACAAGAACTGGTGTGAATATAAAACATTTTTACTGGAACTACAATTTGGAATGTCCTTGGATTTGGATAAATAAAAATCATTAATAAATGAGAATGTGTGTTGTTAAAATGATTTGTATACATATTCACAAAAATATTTCATGTTTCCTTGTTTGGATTCCAACTTGCGCCCCTTTTGATAATGGTATGATTGGCGCGTGGAAATCTTACATCAAAGTTAAAAATTCATACAGCAAACATATCTTTCTTCCTATATTTTACATTCAACTTGTTCAAAATCAGTGTAAATAAATTCCATACAAAATTCCCAAAATGTTATTTCAGCGAAAATTAATTCCAACTAAAATAAAGTATTCTACAGTAAAGCATAAGGGATGAATGCAGTTTACGTTTCCAGACACACTTTATAAACTGGTAGTTGTAATGAAAGTGTGACCAACCATACTTTTCATAACGTAATAAATCTACATGGCAGAAAACAAGAAACTTAGCAGCAAATCCAGACTACCAAGTACCAGTGGCACAGTAATCAGGTAACCAGGCTACTTCATAGGGGGCGTGTCATTTTTATTCCACCTGCATAGATTATGGCAATCCTGACAATGAGTTACGAATACCACTCTAAATATCACGTGTTTGACACAAACGTGTTCCTAGACGAACTCCTTGAGCGGCCCACCAATCAATGGTCCAATTATCAAGTTTTGTGTATTTTGATATGCTAGTACTACTGGATAATTTGAGAAACAACAAAACATTTAAGCACTTACTCAGGTTTTAAATCATCCGAATAACGATGTATATGAAAGTAAACATTCACGGGAATATATACATAGAGAAAACGTATTAATCGGAACTTACTTCTCTATTTCCAAGGCAGCGACTTTTCGTTTATCGTACAACTTGTCATTTAGTGCTCGAACGCAAGCGGCATTTAGCGGCGCAAAATCCCTTTCCGACATATTAATTTATAAAACTGGCAGCCAACAGAGTGTAAGAGATACAGACAGTATATCAAAAGCGAATCTCAGACGGGTCACAATGTTCAAAATATATGGTCACTCGCACTCTCCCTGCATGAGCGCCGCCATTATGAATTGATTATTGGCTGATCCGTGGAAATGTTTTACTCCCCGATATTCACTTTCAGCGAAAAATGACAATCTATTTCCTTATTAATATCAATGAAACGTTGTGGATAAAAAGATGTAGATTTGAAAAGAAAGACTGATAACTCAATTCATGAAACCACATTCATTCAAAAACCAAACATCTACTTTGTTGAATATTTAACTCCTAGAAGAGCCTGAGAGGACCAACTCAATGAAACAACAGCTTTGATTGAACAATGATGGAGAACTGAATCGAAGTTACCCAATCACGTGCGACTTTACATTCCGGATATGCAAAATTTAAGATGCGGAAGTGAGAAAAATTAGCTAGCTGACGATTTCTGTCATCTTCCGTTACTCTGGGTTTTCGTTGTGAGACGTTAGTCGGTAGTGTAGCCATGTTGTCGGGACAAATCGCATCTACAGGTAAACGGGATCACATATAAAAAATGGAAACCTGATAGTCTTACATGTAATTCACGAAAAAATTATCATCGTGTAGATCCATCAATCGCCATTCGAATCGTGAGTACGCTGAGACGTGTTTTTTTATCTGACAATGGCTGATCAAGGTGTTGATCAAAGCGTCGCCTTCGATGCACCCCGAATTGATATCAGAGAAATAACGACCACCCCGATTCCAATAACGACTCAAAATGTCAAGGTACGAGTGGATTATAGTTATCTACGAACTGCACCAGGAGCTCTGAAATTACTTCAAGTTGTGAGTATGAACAATATTTCTATCCTTAAAAAGATACAATTTTTCATTCAGTTTTTCACTGAATTTCAGCATCATTTCTCTGCAAGATATTTATATATGAATATTTTAAAAAATTAATTGACTACTAATAAGTGAAAACATTATTATTATATTTTAGATATTCAGTGAAAAGTCTAATTTAGTTGATATATTGCAATTATCATTATATTTAACAATACTTTTCGTTTACAGAGCTTTTGTTTTTAGAAACCGTAAAAGTACATATATAAATATTATTTTTACACAGCAAAGATCTGTCGTACATATATCTGTAATGTCCTAACAATTTTAGATTGTAAGATTAGCTAAAAAGTCGTACTTTAAGATAACATAATATATTATATTTTATGTCAGTCGCAACTTGATAACTGTGGAATATTTTATTTTCACTCGAATAAATTTTTGCTGAAAAGGCTTTTTAGGGGTTTTGTATGGAATTTATTTTCACTGATAAGTTTAATGTGAATTTTAGTAAAAAAAAGTATATTCGCTGGATTTTATTTTCACGGAATCATCCCTTCAGCAAAAATAGCGAAAATAAATTCCAAGCGAAAATAAAGTATTCTACAGTATTTCTGAAACTCAGATGTTCTGCTTAAGTCTGCAGCAGACTTTCGCACAAGATTGACTGCTAGTGAGAATTGCGGCAGCCATGTCTATTGACATGTTGAGAGACAGCAACTTTTAGAAAAGGGTCTTTACTGATGTTTTTATGACACCCTATTCTTAATTTCTGTTATGCTTTTGTGATGTTTTGTAAATTTTTTTTTATGTGCTGGATCTCAATATAAAACTATTATTATTATAATTCTAAATTAATAATGAATTTTTAATGAACAAATGTTTGGTCATAGGACTCAACTGAAAACAGGTGTTAAATGTGTGTGATGATCTAATTAATTTATGTACCAATTTTACAAATTAATTGACACTGCTTACATTTAAAAAAAAAAAAAAAGTGGCAGAGTTGTTATAATTTATCTTTACATGTAAAAACAAATCAATGTAAAGAAATACCAGGAGAACAATGTTTTGTAATTGGCATTTTTAACCTAAAACCATTTTAGTCTGATTACTTCAGTTTTTGGATAGAAAATTTCAAAACTATAATTTTATTTTCCATGCCCCAATGTCTCATTATTATTGATTTCACCTCATTACTGCTACTGTCCTTAATGGGTAAAAAGGATTAGGTTTTCCCTTATCCACCCCATCTTTCCCATATTACGTTTAATACAATGTATGCTTTATGATAATTTACTATTAATCAATTATGAATGTTAATTATTTATTGCAGCCTAAAGTTCATCCTGTATTTGATATTAAGAAGGTATTATAAAAAATAAGATATCTGTAAATTCATCAATTGTCTCAGTGTCAATCAAATAATAATCATCACTTTCTAAAATTCATATTTATATTGACAGTTTAAACTAAAATATCTCAAATATCGTAATCTACTTATCATGATTATTTTGGTTACATATTTTTAAATTGGAAAATTTAGGGATTGACAATGTCTCAGTCGAGGGGGATGCCATGATGAACCTTTTTTAATAGCACACTCAACAAATTGCCCCCCTCTTCTTATATAAGATCACTTGCATCTAATGTAGTATAATGGAAACCTTTTCTGGAAAATTACAACTGATATTGTCAAAAGCTGAAATGAAAAATGATTGACAGTTGATTAGAATTAATTTTAATAACTATAAATTTTCACTGTGACTTGAGTATAAAACCAAATCTATGTATAGTCACTGTTTGGATTAAGTTATAAATACATGTATATACCTGTAAATATCCATACATTAAATGATTTAAGTACATGATGCATGAAGATAGTTTTTATTGTTTTAACCTATTTGATTGCCAATTTTTTCCCTGTTCAAGTTGCAATTGTTTCTGCATTCAATTGTAATTTTGGACCAAACAAACAACGGGTTAAACTCTTGATGTACATGTATATGCACGACAATATTCATGTTCATGAATTGAAAATGATCTGTGAACATTTATTAGGGTGTATAGAAATATAAATTATGATTACTAGTCATATTTATAAGTGTATGTGTGTACACTTCTATAGATGTATTTGTGTGCATGCTTATGTTTATTACAAGTTTGATATTAATTAGTCCCACCTAATATGTAGATTGCACAAACTGTTTAATTATACTCATTAAGGTTCATTAAAGTCTAATTAAAAAGAGCACGCTTTAATAATCATTCACACGGATTATGCAAATAGTCCAGCTTAATTATGTAATGAATATTACCGGTACATTTCATTTTTCTCAAACCTGTTACTTAAAATATAAAATAAAATATAATGGAAGTAATATTAAATTATTAGTTATAATTTACCAATTTAACCACAATTTACTGTACATGTATAATTAAAAAACAACGTTTTACTGTGATTATGATTTGTTGCATGTTGGTAGCTTGTGGTTTCACTCATTTAGATATACCGGTACATGTATCAGGATTCACTTTAGCCCCGGGGATGACTAGTGCCTTTCAGTCTGTACTCATATCCAGCCAGGGATAAACCAAGGAAATGCTTTTTCAACAAAATACAAACTGTTGTGATGTTTTTCTACTCCATTATTTTTTAACTTAAACAGATGTCATTGCCTCCAGTGTTAATATTAAAATGTTTTGTTTCTTGTTATCACTGAGTTTATTTTAGAGGGAGTGCCTATATCTTTAAGGCTACATACTCTAGGTCTATTTTTTAATTAGGCTGTTTTCTTTTGGTTTACCCCTGTTTGACAATCTCATCAGTATCTCATCACAATGGACCGGGAAAATTTGTGTAGTATATTTAATTAGAACACCTTTACTTCAGTTGGTGATCCAATATAAACCAATTAAAAAAATCAGAACCAGAATGAGGTCCAGGTCTGTTACCCTGGTTACTTTCCTATTTTTCTATAGGTCCTATCAATAGTCTGGAAATGTTGCAGTGATTTGACCTCCAGGGTCAGTGGGTCACCGTGATGTGATTGGCTGATAAATATAACATGCTGCTAATATGAATATGCTAATTTTCCAAACAATGGATGACAATTGAACATTCTTTTCATATGCTTCATCAACTGACAAAAAATGCACCACCCCATTCTTCATGAAATTTGAATAAATTTATATGGTTAATCAGCAACATTTTCAGACTATTAAGAAGAGCACCTACACAACAACGTAAAAGGTAACCAGTAAGGTTAAAGTCTGCCTAAAACAGGCATATAGTTTTGTACTCCATTTTCCCTACATAAGGCTGATTCATATAACATCTACATGTATAAAACTGAATAATATGTAAAAGTGAAAATTGTCAGTTGATTTGTACAGATTGTATGATATTGTATTTGATCTATTAGTAAGAGCATGTACTTCATGTGAATAAAAAAGGTACAGTAAAACCTGTCAAAACCGACCATGACTGGGACTGGGATCTATGGTCGGTTTTCAGAGGGAGTCTGTTTATTCAGGGTGGGCGTGACTTCGATTGAAACAACAACAATTACATGTGCTGTAAACACGGGACAAATGAAAGACACCGGAGTTTGCCTCCGGTGATTATACATGTATTTACATTTATTGTATTGTTTCAATAAAATAATTTACCAAACAAGACAAGAATATTATGGTATGTACATGTACATGTACATGAAATCAATAAACATTAAAATAACTGTTCGAATAGACCGGGTAAGTACTGCGTATCGTAACTGAAGGCGACCATTTTGAATGACATCACAATGTAAGTTCATGTGAGCTACATGTAATTATCATAATTTATGCAGACAGTCGATTTTGCTGTTAAGTCAATGAATCAAATTACGATGTAAAAAAATCATCAAAGTTTTGACTGCTTTAAAGAACATCTTTTTCAACGATTTTGTTTTCCGTTCGAATTATGACATTTTGGATATCTGTCAAGTAACTGGAGTCTTTGTTTATCGCGAAGTTCTGTAATCTTGTCAACATGTCTAGCACATCACCATGCATCAAGTCACGGTCATCGTTGGGGTCAATAATTTGACTGTCGTTGGACTACATAAATCGGTCGGTTCTTACAGTAGGTTGGTTTATCCAGGGATCGGTTTTGACAGGTTGTACTGTACTTCAAAATATATCATATTATTATACATCTGTCATCGTAACGCCATAAGTTACAGCGTGCCATAATTTTGCAGTATTTTA